CTCGTAGCTGCCGGGGACAGCCAACTGCCAATCCTGTCCGTATTCATGCAACCGGGGTGACGCTACGGAGAGTTCCAACGTACTCATGTTAGTCACTTGTTTCGAGAACTGCAGGTGCATGGATGAATACCCGGAAAAACGTGTGTAAATATTGGACTATACACGCATGCATTACAAGGACAAATTAGGTAAGCCTTCACAGCTCAAAGCAAGTCTAATGCATTAGAAAGTAGTCTTGAGATGACCAAAGATACTCGACAACTTGAGCGTGATCAGTTGTGAGATAATCAAGGTGTAAAATTTTGGCTTGAGAGTTCAGTGGAATGCATAAAAAGAATCACTGGCAATGGTAGTCAGCAACATCTCTGCTTGAATATCTGATGCCGGAACGTCTGGCTGATACCTTTGTGGTGAACAGCAGCTGTTGCCGTTGTCACTCATTGAATCAAGCGCGAAGACAGCGTATTTTGTAAGCATATAAATAAGTTTAGGAGCGCTTGTGGTACTCAAATGACTTCTACATTATGATAACGTCACTGAAATCCCGTTCACATAACACGTAGGGGTGACACCGTATCACGGACGATGATTGATTAAAAAAAATTGAACTTGGACACACGGGAACAAATATTAGTGAGACGACTATCTTTCGGTTTATATAATCGCTACTAAAAATTTTCATGCAGTTCGAACGTGAAGAAAACAGCTAAGTGGGTGGGATGCAAACGGAATGTGTGACTGAAACACACGAGCAACAATGATGATTCCAAGTTCAACTAAATTATGCATCGAAACTTACACGTCTGTACAGTGTGTAGTACCGATCCCAGGCTTGTTGCAAGACAATACGTGCTCCAGTACGCTCGAATGTTTCACAACAGACGCGACAGTTGGCTAATTCACCACCATGCTCTTGCAGGAATGTGGCTTCGTGAATCGTCTCATGTCCACGATCCATCATTTGGTGAAGGGGATGGAGCAATCGGAACATTTTTCCAATATCTTTCTCTCCAAAGTAGACTCGACTGGCGTCTTCCAACGATTCAAACCACAACTCAACCCAGGTAATCGATAAACGGATCAGTTCCTCGTTCAACTAAAATGGTGTAATGAATTGAATGTATAATTTTAATACAGTGATATCGATCGAGAAAAATGAGTGATAAACACCGGGGGAGTAAAGTGGGTTGACGGGCCAATGCTAAGTCTTCGTAAAAGAGATGACCACCACCACCGAATCAAGCCTAAGTCCTGGAAAGGCACACAAAAAGCAGGGAAAGAAAAAATTGATAGATAAAAATCCTGATCTAAAATGCATCAGGTTATCACTCGAACGTAAGCACCTAGTTCGTGGGTAAATTCCATCAGGGACGAAAATGAACCATCCGTAGAACATGTTGATGGATGATTATTACGGAAATCATCAATCGTTCAAAACAACGGATTAAAATAACACAAGACTGCACAGTGTGGAAAAGTGAGTGATTAGACAAAAACGAATGCTTACCAGGAAAGCCTCTGATACTAAACGGGGACTATGCTCTTCCATGCTATAGAGAATACGATTAGCATTGTACCGACGCCGATCGGATCCTCCTGATTTGAACGCCAATACAAGCGGATAAACCATGGATTGGGGGTATCTATGACCGACGGAAATTAGTAGATCGATAATGATACTGGCCACATATTCACGTGGGGTGTCGATGCGAGCGAGCAACTGTTGGATAACCAGTAGCCAATTTTCCAAACTGATTTTGGTCAAACCTTCACGAATCACTTCACGTATTTCAGCCAGATGTCCGAACTTAAAGAGTAGATTGATCAGGCGAAGACTATCCTGTTTTTGTGCGAAAACACATTTGGAGGGTTGGAACGGTGTCGGGGCAAAAAAGGAGAAATAAGTGTAATTGGTTTGGTAAAAGAGTTGAGGAAGTAAATCACCGTCCGACTATGCCCCTATCACACACTGTAAGTAAATCACACATGAAGTCATTTATATTCATTCGAAATCTTATTAACCAATCATCAGAACGCGAATTTTACCATATTTTAAACTCCACTTTCGAGAATCTAAAGTGGAGGGAAAATGCATTTGTGATCCGGCAACAGCTGAGTTGAAGGTATCAAATGCCCATCTTACAAGGAAGTAATCTAGAATACAACGTAACAGAATAAAGACCATCCATAGTTACGATAAACACAGAAAATAAAATAAATGAATTGTCTTGAATGCCACAGATTGGGACAGAGCCTATTAACCTGAACTATGCACAGAACTGGTAACCATCAATAAATACTGTAACGTTTCACGAACAAACTTGGTGATTGCCTGTGCAACTTAGAAATCCTTAGATAGACCTCAGTCTTTCAGTGGAAGTTGCGTGCCGTGAACAAAAACTGCCACGCGAGTACAGAACTACGAGCGACCTATAAGACAAAACTCAACATCTCAGAGAAGACAGTCAAATAAATGTTGGACAGTTGTAGACAACGTCGGATTTCCAAAAGTATCCATGTTTCTAACAGAACGTGGTCAAACCGTTTCGATTATCATCGCACATCCGTGGAAGTCGCAGGCATACCGTCATCTAACTTTCCTACAAATTAGATGGCAGTCTAGCGCCTTCTTGAAATTAGATTTTACAACTGTCCACTGAATTAAGGTCAAGAAAAAGTTTATTGCCGATACTGAGTGTAATAGGAATAGAAAACAAAAGCGAAAAGTAACTGTGAGTTAAATGCTAGTAAACGTTGATGCGTCGTACGTACTTGCATGTTTGCGGACGGAGACAAACTTATGGAGTTGACGAACCCACGTACGGATGGAGCAGCATGTAACTCCATGCACCGCTGGAGATCAGTTTTAGCGCGCACGAGCTCCGCAATTGGCTGAGTCGAAGCAGGGGGAGTATTTCCCGGGACTGAGTTCAAGCCATGAGGAGATGGAGAAGTGGAACCGACCTGTGTAGAACGTAGGGAAAATCAGAACGATGTGATGATATGGACTTCTTTTGGGATAATAGTGATAAGCTTGTGATCAACGGACATATACTGCCATGCGTCGTAGTAGGAAAAAGTATTTGCCAAAAGTATAGCTGGTGAAGAACGAGTCTAAAATTACTGCCTCTGAGAAAACCACCGGGGCAAGTCAGGAAATAATTAAACGAGAAATCGCAATGTGACACGAAAAATCGATGATCTTAATTGAAAACTGAAGAAACAAACAAGAGTGAACCAAACTGGCCGAAACAGCAATATCATTGATCATTGTTCATGGATAGATCCAGGTGATAAAGTAAGATTATATGATCATCTGATGTTTTAGTGAACTAATCCAGAATGTTATTCCTGGATGGATTGGGCGCATAAAATTGCAGAAGTATGGGGGACTGAAGACGACAGACGTGCGAAAATCTTCTTGAACAAGTTGAGAAAATTCACTAAAACCGATTTCGATAATAATTTTTCCCACACAAGTGATTGGTTCCTCTCGACTACGATATTAAAGCTGAAACAAGATGACGCTGGGCAAGCGAAAACAGGAAATTACAAGATGAGATTGTTGAACAAAACAAGGGAAAGTCGTCAAAATAGCGTTACCGAATAGGAGCGAAGAAAGAATTAGACAGAAGAGAAAAAGCAGAATAAGGAAAACAAACACGATATGCATTTGATGCGACAAATGATGGTCATCATCATCATCATTATCGTAGAGCGAAATACACTGAAGCAAATTGCACTGATCGCTGCCAAACT